CTCTACTCTTCATTTGGCTGAAGAAGCTAATTGAAGGCCTGGTAGCATAAATAAGTGGGCTGCTAACAGCAGGTACCTGTCTGGACTTGCCAATACAGGGCAGAAAATTGACAATTATGAAATATCCCCACAACATGGAAGCTCCACTAAAGTTGGATTTATAGTCCCGCAAATGTGTGCATGTACAGACCAGGAGGGGAAAGGGATTTTCAATCACACAAGACGCACTGTCCAAGTGGGCTGGAATAGAGCAGTGCGTAATAGTGAGTTCCCTGGGGACGGGAGCTCAAAAAATACAGCATGTAAAGCACAGATATTGTTTTTAACACCTGGTTTTACTTCAACTCTTTGTATGTTACAACTTTGTTCTTCTTTGCAGCTGGCTGACAACAGAGTTCAGTGCAATCAGACACACAATCCCTGGACAGATGATGCGGTCTCTCTGCACGACCATAAATAACGCATCACAGCAACCAAGCTAGTTACAAGTAGACACGTGAGTCAACCATTTAGCACAGCACAGAAGGACATTAGAAATAACAGTTTACAAAGCACCAGCTCCTGGTTGAGCAGTTCATGAAGATTCGAGGAACAGGCAGACCAAACTCAGCACCACCTGGATTCACTACATGAAAGCCTCTGACTCTTGTAGAACATCTTTGCTGCATATGGATTAGACATCACCAAGTTCCCATTGCGTCTAAAGGTGGTTGAAACAACAGTGGATTAAGGTCCTGTGGGACTTTCAAGTTCCGGATAGAAAAGCAGCCTCTGGCCAACCAAACAGATATAGTTGACAAGGAGCAGAAGACCACAGCTGTGAAAGACGTGGCTATGCCAGCTGACAGTAACATCAGACAGATGGAGCATTAGACATCTGAGAAGTGGCGAGACTGAAGGAACAGCTGTGGCAGATGTAGGAAGTCGTCATCCTAGTGGTAATAGAAGTATTAGGAGGTGGAACTTTCCAGCAGTGAATCTTAACAGCTCACAGTAAAGACATCACTTGATTCCATTAACTGTCTGGGTCTGTGTATTTATGTTGTATTTATGGTGTAGCTGCACACATGCGCTCTCTCTCTCTCACACACACACACACCCAAACACCAGTGAAACTTTCATTGTGATGCAATTTTCTTACATTTTTTTCCTTTATTATGTAAAGATTTAGGTTTTCATTAAGTTCTTTTCATAATATGCCACTATTTTGTTTAGCCTAACACTGAGATATGTGTCCAAATCAAAACGTTTAAGGTCCAAATGCAGACACTGAGGCTTGACACTCATCTGACATACACATACAACCTGTTTCCATACAGAAATGTTCCACCAAGTATCACATTGTACAGCTTCATTTGAAACACATTGCTGATTTTAAAATTAGTATACTATATAAGCCAGGTTCTTTGGGGGATTGCTTCCTGCTGATGCCAGGTGCTGCTATCTTTGTGATATGCAACATTACTACTGCTCACTGTAGTAAATAAAGCTGTCACCTAGTATCCACTGTGATGACGGTCGTCATCTGTAGGCTTAAGTAATGTTACTTTTATTTTAACTGTCAACTGTCAAAGGTGATATGTCCTTGACTTTAGAATCAACCTTAAATGTTTAAACGTGCCTGGTCTAAGAGTAATCACACGTGACTAGAACTAGAGTAACTGAGGACAAAGAAAGCTGTCACTGGCTAAGCGTGAGAGGGAGCTGCCACACGAGCAGCGTGTTTTCACTGGAGTCTGAGCAGGTTTCTTCTGATGCTGACAGTCCTATCCTGCGGTATCCTCTTCCACCAGAGAAGATGGCTGTTGAAGTGACTTTGTTACGTTTGGCCTCTCCCTCCTTCCCCAACTCCAGTGGCCGCCCTCTCAACCAAACATCGGGGTCCTCATTTACTTCATAGATGGAACCGTCCTCCATCTGGAGATCTGGGGAGGCCCTTGGGTTCGCTTGTTCTGGCTGAGCTGTCAGCAGCTTCCCAGGAAGCTGGGAGGTGGAATGGAGGTGGTACTGCAATAGGAGATGCTTAGGTTTGTCCTGCTTCCATGGAGAAGTTTCTAAGTTCTCCCTATGGTGGCTATTTTCCAGCTTCTGCTCTCCTCTTTCTCCTTCAACATTACCTCCACCTCCTCCTCCCTCTCCATTAGCACTCTCTTTGCTAATGTTGAAGATGGAATCCCGTCGAAGCAAATCAGAGGCCAGGGTGCTGGAGGCTGACACCAGGAAATCTACAGCACCACAGTGAGCATTCAGAGATGTCATCGCTTTACCTGAGGATATAAAAGTTGTACATCTGCTCACTTTGTCTCATTTTACCAGAGTAACACATGAAAGAAGTAAATGTGTTCCAAAAGACAAAAAAAAACTAAAACTGAACAAACATTAAGTATACAATAGAACTAAATAGAGTGTTTTTAAATGCAACCCTGCAGAGAATCATCAACATTTCAGGACCACAGTTTTAGTGGAGTTTGAGTTAAAAGGGGAAGAAGTTTTAAAAAAACTTGCACTGAGACCCACAGAGGTAGAGTGTTTCCAAAGCAAAGCATATGCACAGGACTATTTGATATATATCGCACATCAATAAACTATAATAGAAAACTAAATAATAAAGTAAATTAATAGGGGAACAAATAGTATAAATTAGGAAGCAAATAGAATTGAAATAGTCGTTTTTTCATAGATTTATATATAAAAAAAAATAATGGCTACACTTCTTTTGAGGGAATTAATGTCATTTTTTGTTAAATAGAGCATATCTCCTGTTTCTTTGTTGCTTTCAAGGTTCAGTTTCCAGTTTATTGAGTTAACTTTGTTTTGGTGAGTGCCAGAGCCTTCATGAGTACGTGTGCATTATCAGGCCATCATGCTACATGGATATATTGTATATCACAAGAGATCTTGAGATGTTGAACCAGTAATGAGCACATGCTGTGTGTACATTCAACTTCAGTCACAAAAACATCAGAGAGCAGGAGCGCTGATGCATGTTCTGACCTGTGATCTTCGGGATACCCTCAAGAGTCGGTACAGAGAAAGTGATGATGACGCCCTGGCTAGTCCCCACCCACAACATACCCTTAGAGATCAGTAAGCTGGATACACAAACGTGACCTGGAAAACAAACATTTAACCATTACATTGGTCATAGTCTAACTGTACATGTTTTATTCCTGCCCAGCCCTGACAACACTGTGTGTGTGTGTAGTCTGCCAAAATTTGAACTCGGGCTGAGCTCTGTCACTGAGCAGCTCAGTTCAATTTACAGCATGGAGATCTTAAGGAAAAAGTGAACAGGAAGGGAAAGTTTCCAGTAAACTGTAAACGTATTGTAGTATGGGATATCACACCCCTGTGTGTCTTGGCTGAAGACATCTCTATTCATGCCTTTAAGGCAGATAACCTGTGATGACACTATGTAACTGAATGTCTGAATGTTAGATAGACAGCATTACATATTGTTTGTAAGAATGGGAGCAAGTTGTATAGAACAGAAATGCATCATTTAATAACAACTTCTGCTAACTTCTGTTCCCTGAAGGAACAAGGTTGCCCTGCCATGCAGTTGGGTTCAATAATAATAATAACTTAGATTTGTATAGTGTCTTTCAAGAAACCCAACTTTGCTTTACACAACAGTAACTAGAGCTTAAAATAGCTATGGGTTGTGGGATTTGTTGAAGAGGCGAGTTTTGAGAAGTTTCCTGAAGGACTCCAGTGTCGTGCCATCGTGAGTCTCATATGGGAGAGAGTTCCAGAGGGTGGGGGCTGCCACACTGAAGGCTCTGTCCCCAAAGGTATTAAGGTTGGTGCAAGGGACAGAAAGGAGACCCATTCAACATGACATCTGAACATTCAGGCAGTGACAACAATATTCTAGAAATGCTAAACACAGGTCTAAAAGCAGCTATGCTGTATTCTATGCCCGTCTGTCTCGGTGACAGTATCGTTTTTGGCCTTGCCTGGTGACAGATAGTTGGTACGGGTGGAGATGTTGACTTCCTGCAGTTGTTGCAAGGTCTCTGTGTGGAACAGATGAATGGAGGATCCTTTGGTGAAGGCCATCCAAACACCTCCACCTGAATGGACCATATGGCTAACATGGAAGTCTGGATCTGAGTGGGCTTCGAAGCTCTGAAACACAGAGAGAAAGGGTTAATCTGTGGCTTATCTGTCAAAAAAAATATGTCAGTTGGTTTCACAAAATGTGTCATATGACTCATTTTGTGGAAAATATTTTTTTAGGAAAACATGGTACATGAATGTTCTGAAGAATATTTTAATTCATGTAAACAATAATCTGCTGGTTGTTCAGTAAATAAAGCTCTTGCCTAGTTGTGACTGTCATCTGTAGTCATCTGTAGTATTCGGGTAAGTGTGTATGCTGAGAATACATATTTACTAGGGGTGGGACTCGATTAAAAAATAATCTAATTAATTAGAGGCTTTGTAATTAATTAATCACGATTAATTGCATTTAATCACACAAGAAACCTCGCCCCAAAGTGCAAATTTTTTTTTTCATTTAAAAGGGTTTTAGCGGGCGACAGAATCAAATAATACACATGGATGTGAGTATTGTAAACTCGAGCTCTTTTAATTTTTTGGGAAAAAAATGAAGCATTTAAACTGCATTTCAATTCAAAACAGAGAAACAAAAATAATATCCCTGGTCAAAATTGGGCAGACCTTTGACAACCATTTGATATTTGATGCTCTACTGTGAATAAAATATGGATTTATGAGAACAAATCATTTCATTCTGTTTTATATACATTTCACAGAGTATCACAGCTTTTTTGGGAATCAGAGTTGGAATCCAATCCAGGCAGTATTTTCCTAAATGTGGTTTACTGTTGATGCTGACCCATCAAACACATTTAACACTTACAGTTTTATTCTTCTCTTGTAGAATTGGTAATACTTATTGAGCTTACTTTGGGCCTTGACATAGCCTGTCAGTTCACTGTCTCTCTGAAACAAGCCTTTTTGTCTTATTTGCCTTAAAAAGCAGCTTTGAACAGCAGGTAGGTGGGACTGTTGAGCTGGTCTGATAATTTAGTTTTGCATTTGTGGTGGATTATACATCCAAGAATATAAAAAATGTCTCAAATGCAATAGTTAGAGGACTCTGAAGCTTGAGCCGTTGGTTCACAGGAATCACTTGTAAAAATGCCAGCCTCATTATTGGGTCATTTTGACATGGATCCACCACTGTAACAGTATACACATCCATTGCAGAGCACAAGGGAAAGTGTAAAGTGTAAAGTAAAGTGTAAGTGTAAAAGTGTTCTCAGTGTGCATACTGAACAGTCAATATACCTGCATGCAGAGGCTGTCTCCTTGTATGACAGTGACTTGGTTTTCACAGCTGGCCCACATAGTGTCTTCAAGTGTCAGCAGACAGTAGACCGGCTTGGAGCCAAGAGACACTAGCTTGCATAAATCCACATCCCACAGTCGCTCTGACAGGAAGAATTAGTTGGTGGTTTAGAACCTAATTTGAGCTCTGTGATTTAGCTCCTACTACGCTAGTGCATGACCTCATTAGTCTGACATGCAAACTCGCATCATGTGAGAGTGGTATCTGTGACAGCTCACCTCCAGTTTTTCTGTGGTATATAGCTACTTTGCCATTAGCCAGTCCAGCAAAAAGGAACGACAGTAAATGTTTGAGGCAGAGCACTGGACAGTTGTCAGGGTTTACCAAGGTCAGCAGGCACTGAACAGCTGTGTCCACACTGCTCTGAACATGGATACTGGAAAGACAAGCAGACAGAAAAGTCACATATTACACATGGGGCCAGATTGTTGCTGTTGCTGCTGTAACAAAATAACATAGCTCTACATTAGTCTTTCAAAATCTCATAGTACAATCTGCTCAAAGAGATACATAAGAAAATTGAATGTCATTACCTGATTTCATGCTTTTCATGTAAGTTTTAAGGTTGTCTTTGATTATTTATTTATATATATATTTTTAGAATAATGTATTTTGCAATCAACTTGTTTTCTTAAGCCTTTTTTGTGCAATCCAAATCAAATAACAGCAGAGTACCACATTCTTTCAGTTTATAGCAACATAAAATTACAAAATGGGTTTAGACATCCTTTTTCTGGGGAAAAAAATAATAATGGCATAATCAGCGTAAAAACTGCCTGGTGCAAACCTCGGCATGAATGAGCAACTGTAAACTCCCACAAAAACATATGTCAGCAGCAAAAATAATTGTTTTTAGCAGCAGTGACAAAAGAGGGTTCATCCTAGCCTTAAAACTGGTCGATGAAGTGAAAGAAAATTGATGATATTAAAAAAAATGGTTCAATATTTTGAGGAATTGTCTTCTTCTTTTTTTTTTCTAAACTTACAATCGTTAGTCAAATATAACAAAACTGTGATCCAAACAATACTTAATGTTCCGACAGCTATAAAACTAAATAATGTCCTGTGTTGGAAAAGACTGACCTGCCGTCCTGCAGGCCAACACAGATTATGTTTCCTGTCTTGGCTGCCCTTGGGCCTTTCTCAGTCCCCTCCTGGAGCACTGTACTGGGGCACGGCTCCTTTACATACTCCAGGCAAAGGACTGGGGCTCTCAGTGGGAGGGTTTTGACCAAGCGGGCACTGACTCGGTTCAGAGAGAAAATCTCTACTTGCCCATGGTTGGAGTTGCCACCTCCACCAGCAACCTGAAGACCATGACAGGAGAAAAGTAGCTTTGCTTATCACAAAAAACCCCCAAAAAAAAACCAATAGTCAAAGCAATTATGCCATGGATCCGTAATGTACCAATAACAGTGTGTCTCGAAAGCACAGATTTGAACAGCCAAGGTTTTATACATAAGTTCTTACAGCAGGGGGACAAGCTTACCCCAGCAGCAGAGCTAACACCGTGGTAGTGGTTATACAGACATAAAACAGAAACCACACTGAATAATGCATTCAAACATACAGATCCACATACAGTGGGGCAAAAAAGTATTTAGTCAGCCACCGATTGTGCAAGTTCCCCCACCTAAAATGATGACAGAGGTCAGTAATTTGCACCAGAGGT